GACCCGCCGGTCGGTTCGCTCCCGTGCGCTAACTTACACGGGAAGAAGAAACGGCGGCGAGCAGCGCAGGATAACAGATATCCTGAGGTCAGCACTCTGAAGGTGCCCTTGCGACCTGTGAAGACTGAGCAACTTAGCATTACGGTGCGGCATGAGATTAACAAGGCGCTGCTGAGGGCAGCGTCATAGCAAGCCCCAAGTAGCGGGGGTCAGCTTGAGATGGTCTTCGTGTACGGGAAGGAAGACGTGTAAGATGAAGTCGAGGGTGAGAAAGAGATGAGGTTGATGATGCGAGGGCACGTACCAGGTCTTGGCGATGGTCTACAAGGTCGACATCTTCAAGTACTTCGGTCGTGGCTGCTGACGTCAACAGGATGCATTGTCAATTTGTGGGATGCAAGTAGCTGTGTGATGGTATGCTTTGTCAATACATGGGATGCTAGTACCTTTGTGATGGTAGTCGGGGTGCTGAGCGCCTAGAAGGAGGAAGGACTCTGGACACATATGATGATAGTGGCGAGCGTATGCTCTCATTGACATTCAGGTTCAGTGCTTTGATTCTCCATTGGTGGAATACCAGGGCATTCCTTCTTTCTCGACAGCGTCAGACTTGCTGGCTTTCAATGTGATTATGCATTCTGGATTTCTGTCATTTCGCTATCGCTCATTTTCCTTGCGGGGCTGTCATTTCGCCGAATTTGAAGGTGCCCTTGCGACTTGTGAAAACTGAGCGGGACAGCATTACGGCGCGGCATGAGATGAACAAGGCGCTGCTGAGGGCAGCATCATAGCCAGCCCCAAGTAGCCGGGGCTCGGCTTTGTGGGCATACGGGGAACCTCATAGCAGCCAGAACCGTGTTCACGAGAGAACATGCGGGGGCTGCTCCCGACCTGCAGGTGGGCGATACCGGCTAGGGGACAGCCGGTAGCATCAGGGACCATGCCAACAGGACCAATCCCTGTGCCTCCCCTCAGGTCCCCTCCCCTATGAACATCAGCAGACTCTGCTAAATGCCAATCGGGGGATCCAGT